TTAACGGGATCTTTTTTCTGTTTTTATGTCAGACCGATCACTTCGTTAAAAGATTCTTTACTAGACGATTTTTAGATTTTTTTTTATTTAATATTTCCACTTCAAATAGAAAAATAGAAAAAGAAAATATAGCGATTTTTTTAGAGAATTGTGATTTGAATATGAATACAAATGTAAAATAAAAAAATGATATCGAATCCTATAGAAAATAGAAAAAAACCTTATAAGCTAGTCATACCATTTGATTATATTGACAATTTTCAAAAACTGATCATACTATGATCATAGTATGATGGCGGTTGAGCGAGTATGCCCCCATCGTCTAGTGGTTCAGGACATCTCTCTTTCAAGGAGGCAGCGGGGATTCGACTTCCCCTGGGGGTAGGGTACTACGAAAGGAAGTTGATCGTGGATTATCCAGAAAATTAGAATAGTTCCAATGTACTGTATTAGATATCTGGACCCACCATCTATCTTATTAGCATTCAATAATGTTTATTTATTTTAAAACTTTTTTTTGTCAATATTTTAAAACTTTTTAAAAAATTGGATTTGAGGTTGTATCTTTCGAGCAAAAAACTCTCAAACTTCAAAATTTGAGGTTTATTAGAGAATGAAGAGCAAAATCGAGTTAAGAATATTTAAATCATACTATATCATTATAATTTACGTTTTTTTTATTTCTCTCTCTCTCTCTCTCTCTCTCTCTCTCTCTCTCTTCAACTTTGACTTCTCTCAATACTCTAGTCTTTTGTTCACTTACTTCACTTGGAAGAAGATCTTCAGTTAACGATTGCGATTGCTACAGGCGAATTTTTGGCAACCTTCAATCTTCCTCCACGTTGCTCGAGCTTTTCGATCTCTTTTTGGTTTTCGTACTGAGATTTCTTGTTTTGATATAATGCTGCGTTTTATCAAGAGCTCCAAAGCATTATTGTCTTCCTCGATTTCGTGCCGAAATGGAATCAGGAGATTTGACCAGCTTCGTCGATTCGGTTCTGTTTCTGGCTCTTCTCACGGATTAACGTGCAAAGACGCCGCCGTCAATGTCTCGTCCGGGAGATTACCTATCGCCGGAAGCATCACTCAGAGACGGCGTTTCCACGGTGACAGAGAAGGAGAAGAAGGTGATTCCGTCTTGTCTAAAATCTACGAAGAGCGACGTCTCTTGGGGTAAACAAAAGAAAAAACATTTTGTTCGATTTCTCGATCTGTTTTGATTTTTTAGAATATGTTTCCAAAATTGTCTGAAATAGTTTAAATTTGATTTCAGTTTTGTTGTTGTGTATGGTATAGATCCGTACTGAAACACATTCGTGTATTGAATTTGAAGACTTATATGTGCTGTGCTGTGATTTAATTACAGGTATTCACAAGAGCAATTGTTTGATGTAATTGCAACTGTTGACTTGTACCACGGTTTTGTTCCTTGGTGTCAACGGTCTGAGATTGTTAAAGAACATTCAGATGGGTCATTCGATGCAGAGATAGAGATTGGTTGCATGTTTCTTGTCGATAATTACACTTCCCACGTCGAACTAGAAAGACCTAAATGGATTAAGGTTACCATTTTTGTCTTCTTGTTTTGATGAACAGATTAGAGTCATGTTGGTTCTCATCAAAATCAATCCCTTTTTTTTTCAGACAATAACAAAAGACTCACGGTTCTTTGACCATTTGATCAATGTCTGGCAATTTAAACCCGGACCCATTCCAGGAACTTGTCATCTTCACTTTCTTGTGGACTACAAATTTAACTCACCTCTTTATAAACAGGTAAGCTCCAAAATTGAAAGAAAGTGAGAATGTAACCGGAATAAACCGGTCCAATGATGGCTTATTGTGTTTTTCTTCTTCAGGTGGCTTCTATGTTCTTGAAGGAGGTGGAATCAAAACTGGTTGGCACATTTAGTGATCGATGCAAGGTCGTGTATGGGCCTGGGATTCAAGTGGATGATTCAGTTTTATGAGGGGCTTTTGAGAAAAATTATATTACAGTTGTCACTTTGCATTCATGTACATTTCTCTACTGTTTCATTGCTGAATTTACAATTTGTGATAAATAACATAAGTAGGTGACAAATGTATTTTCATTTGTTACTTTAGAAAGAAAAATTACAAATTGGGGAATGTTAGTTTATATATGGGCCTTGGCCCAAAATCCTTTTCCATATAATGAAACTTATAAGTTGTCTTCCTGGTTTTTAATTTTCGGACTTTGACATTAGACTTGTTGTGTCCGGTGACGATTCATTATTATTCATCGATACCAAAACCCTTTTCGAGAAGTTTTTCTTCAATTGTCTACACGATGTCCGGCGAGGAAGACGCAACCGTCAGGGAGCCACTAGATCTAATTCGCTTGAGTCTCGACGAGAGAATCTATGTCAAGCTCAGATCAGACCGCGAGCTTCGCGGCAAGCTTCACGTACGTTTTTCTTTTTGCCCTCGTTTGAATTGAGACTGTAGTTGTACCTTCAATTTCGAAACGAGTTCGTTTGAGTTTAGTAATTGGTCTCATTGATTTCACTGTTTCATGTCGAATTCGTCTTCTTTTGGGGGAAAGTCTAGGGATTTTGCCTTTCCAAGTTTCAATTTTTTGTTTTAAAAGTTTCTCGAGTGATTGTGATTAGCTTTAAGTGGAAAGTTTTGAGGAGAAAACCTCAATTTTGGAAAAAGTTAGTAGATTTTGAATGATT